AGTTTTAAAGTTTGGGCCTACATTGACATCCCCCTCCACAAAGCCTTTCCCGAAACCCCCCAGTTTAATGTAAAAAAAAACCAGCATCTTCTAAAAGCAGCAGACCCCCAGATCCTCCTCAACAATCAGGGAAACTTCGGGAAACCTTCGGGAAAAAACTTCCCTTGATAAAACCCGGGGGCCCCTGGCAAAAAGCTTATCAGACATAACATTTTCCCCACATCAGCTTGGGGTTTTACACTGGACTTATGGAATATCTGTGATGATACGTGCAGAAATAAAAAAAACAAAAGGGGAACAAACAAACAGCCCACTTAAAATCAAAAAACTTCCAGATCACCCTGCTACAGAGACAACATCAACCACTAATTCAAATAAATTTGGCTTTTTTTAAAACCTTTAATCTCTGTCAGGAAAACCCCTTTTTAAATTTAAATTTGACTTTTTTTATTGACAAATAATTTTTGATTTTTTTTTTTTAAAACAGAAACGGGGTTCCCAGGATTTTAAATGAAGCACAAATTCTTTTGGGAAACGCCCTCCTCCAAAAACTAAAATTTTTCTTTCCCGAGAGGCAGCCCGCAAAGGGGTTGGAGGATGGCAACATTTTTTAAAATGACTCCCGAAGGGAAAAAGGTTTTTTTGGGGAAAAATTTTTTGACTCTTTTAAAACTTTTTGGCTCTGCAGGAAAAGAGCCCCGGTCCGAACTATGTTTCAAAATTTTTTTACAGGCCCCCCTAATCCCCCGTCAAATTTTTTAAAAATGTTTTTAGTGACCTCCTGTCTTGATTGCGTTGATTATGACTGTTTAATTTTTGGGGGGAGATTTTAATTTTACTTGACAACCCTAAAGACAAATTGCAAAAGAACGTGTGAACACATTAGAAACTTTGGTTTAATTCAACATTTAAAAAACCCCAACACAAAAACCCGGGACTTCACATATTGCCAAAAGTATTTGCTCACCTGCCTTGACTCACATATGAGCTTAAGTGACATCCCGTTCCTAATCCATAGGGTTCAATATGACGTCGGTCCACCCTTTGCAGCTAGAACAGCTTCAACTCTTCTGGGAAGGCTGTCCACAAGGTTTAGGAGTGTGTTTATGGGAATTTTTGACCATTCTTCCAGAAGCGCATTTGTGAGGTCCACACTGATGTTGGACGAGAAGGCCTGGCTCTCAGTCTCCGCTCTAATTCATCCCAAAGGTGTTCTATCGGGTTGAGGTCAGGACTCTGTGCAGGCCAGTCAAGTTCATCCACACCAGACTCTGTCATCCATGTCTTTATGGACCTTGCTTTGTGCACTGGTGCACAGTCATGTTGGAAGAGGAAGGGGCCAGCTCCAAACTGTTCCCACAAAGTTGGGAGCATGGAATTGTCCAAAATGTCTTGGGATGCTGAAGCATTCAGAGTTCCTTTCACTGGAACTAAGGGGCCAAGCCCAGCTCCTGAAAAACAACCCCACACCATAATCCCCCCTCCACCAAACTTTACACTTGGCACAATGCAGTCAGACAAGAACCTTTCCCCCTGGAAAAACCCCCAAAAACCCAGCCCCCGTCCATCAATTCCCAATGGAGAACCCGCGATTCTTCATTTCCAGAGAACGCGTCTCCACTGCCTAGATCCATGGCGGCGTGCTTTACCCCACCGCATCCGACGCTTTGCATTCCCACTTGGTGATGAAATGGTTTGGATGCAGCTGCTCAAAACCCAGGGAAACCCATTCCATAAAGCTCCCTGCGCACTGTTCTTGAGCTAATCTGGGGCCAAAATAAAAATTTTTGGGGGGTCTTTAGTGATTGACTCGCAGAAATTTGGGGCGCCCCTTTTCCCGCACAAATGCGCGTCAGCATCCGCTGACCCCCGTTTCCGTAAAGTTTACGTGGCCTACCACTTCGGGGCCGATTTTCCCTTGTCTTTTCCCAAACACTTCCATTTTCTTATAAAAACAGCTGACATTTTGACTGGGGAAAATATTTGGGAGCGGGGGAAATTTTCCCCCGACGGGAAATTTGTTGCACAGGGGCATCCTTAAACATTTTCCACGCTGGAATTCACTGAGTTTCCCTGAGACGCCCCATTTTTTTAAACAAATTTTGTAAAAACAGCCCGGGCATCCCTTTAGGGGGTTTTTAATTTATACACCGGGGCCCAAAGGAAGGATTGGAACACCGTTTCCCAAAAATTTTGGAGGGGTGAAAAAATACTTTTGGAAATTTATAGTGAATTTTAGACTTGATCACCCAAAAAAGGGTCTGAAAAAATTTCCCTAAAGTCACGTTACTGATGTTCCCCCAAATCCGATCATTTTTTCCGTTACCTTTGAGGGCATCATTTCCAGTGACTCATTTAGCCAAAGGGACATCATAAGAAAATGCACCTTTAAGGAAAATGCCACAGAAACTTTTATTCAAGCTTACTCTGCTACTTCAACCTTGGGGTGCAACTCAGTAGAAGAGCTAGTAGATAACTTTCAGTCTAAAGTCTCAGACATCATTAGCTGCATTGCTCCAATTAAAGTGAAAGTCTTTTCCGGTAAGAAAAAATCTCCTTGGAGAAGTGCTCCAGCAGTTAGAAGTGAAAAAAGGGAGTGTCGTAAAGCTGAACGCAGGTGGAGAAAGACGAAACTCCAGGTTCACTATGACATCTATAAAGAGAGACTTTACAGATATAGCTTACAACTGAAAAATGCAAGAGAATCTTTCTTCTCTGAAATCATTAACAAGAACATTAATAATACTCGTGCTTTATTTGCCACAGTCGACAAGCTAACAAATCCTCCTGTGTCCGTGGCTCCTGGACTCCACTCCACCCGGGCCTGCAATGAATCTGCTAATTTCTTTACTGAGAAAATCCTAAAGATCAGAGGATCAGTTTATACATCCATATCAAGTTCAGTACCAAAGTTGTCTCCAACTGGAATTGATCTTGACCAAATGTCCCAATTCAGCCAAATAAACTATAAAAGCTTAGAGGAAATCATTCAGCAGCTAAGTTCCTCCTCCTGCTGCCTTGATCTTCTACCCACAGCTTTCTTTAAGAAAGTTTTACCTGTCATAACGTCTGATTTGACTCAGATAATAAACACGTCCCTTCCGTCAGGTGTTTTCCCGCAGTCCCTAAAAACAGCAAATATCAAACCACTGCTGAAAAAGAACAGTTTAGACAAACTACTACTCCAGAACTACAGGCCCATATCAAACCTCCCCTTTATCAGTAAGATTATAGAAAAAGCAGTGTTTCAACAGTTAAACACTTTCTTAGATATGACCAGCCACTTTGACGTGTTCCAGTCAGGTTTCCGTGCTCACCACAGTACAGAGACCGCCCTTATCAAGGTGCTTAATGACATCCGTATAAATACAGACTGCGGAAGAACCACAGTGCTGGTACTATTGGACCTCAGTGCAGCATTTGATACTGTCGATCACTCCATCCTGTTAGAGCACCTGGAAAACTGGGTCGGCCTCTCTGGTACAGCTCTCAACTGGTTTAAATCCTACTTAAAGGACAGGGACTTTTTTGTGTCAGTAGGCAACTTTACATCAGAGATGACAAAAATCACATGTGGGGTTCCCCAAGGGTCCATCCTGGGTCCCCTCCTATTCAATATCTACATGCTCCCTCTGGCTCAGTTAATAAAAAACAACAACATCAGCTACCATAACTATGCAGACGACACACAGCTTTACATCACCATGTCACCAGGTGACTATGAACCAATTCAAGCACTGAGGAAATGCTTAGAAGAAATCAATGCCTGGATGTGCCATAATTTTCTTCAACTGAATAAAAACCAAACTGAAGTAATAATCTTTGGACCAATAGAGGAGAGATCTAAAGTTAGCACACAGCTTCAGTCGCTTCAGCTAGTAACCACTGATCAGGCCCGAAGTCTAGGTGTAGAGCTGGATTCAGACTTGAACCTCCAAAAGCATTTAAAGACAATTACAAGGTGGGCTCTCTATCACCTGAAGAACATTTCCAGGATTAAAGGACTAATGTCTCAGCATGATCTGGAAAAACTAATCCATGCGTTTATTTTTAGTCGAATTGATTACTGCAACGGTGTTTTCACAGGTCTGCCTAAAAAGTGGATCAGACAGCTGCAGCTGATCCAGAACGCTGCTGCCCGTGTCCTCACTAAGACTAAGAAAGTAGAGCACATCACCCCAGTTCTAAAGTCCTTCCACTGGCTCCCTGTATCTCAGAGAATAGACTTTAAAATACTTCTGTTAGTCTATAAATCTCTGAATGGCTTAGCACCTAAATACATCACAGACTTGCTATCAGTGTATCAACCCTCCAGACCACTCAGGTCTTCTGGCTCCAGCCTGCTCTGCAGACCTAGAACCAGAACTAAACATGGAGAAGCAGCATTTAGTTCCTATGCTCCACTTATCTGGAACAAACTTCCAGAAAACTGTAAAAGTGCGGAAAGCCTGAGTTCCTTTAAATCAAGACTAAAAACACATTTGTTTAGGATTGCCTTCGACTGTTCCAGTTAAACAATTCAACAAAAACATGTTTTCTTTAATCCAACTGTTTTTAATATTCTTTTTTTGTTTCTGCATTTTTAATTTTATTTTATTTGTTTTTTATTTTTTCCTACTTGCTTTGATTCAATGTTTTATCTTCCTGTATTTTAATCATGTAAAGCACTTTGCATTGTCTTTGTACTGAATTGTGCTATACAAATAAATTTGCCTTGCCTTGCCTTGCCTTGCCTTGCCTTGCCTTGCCTTAAAAACTAAGCCAGTTTTAAGTGAAACCTGTCAGGTCTGACTGTATCTGACCCACCAACAAGCTGCTGTAGTCCTGGTTATTGACATTCTATAAATGAATATCAGAGACAGAACTCCTAACTACTAAACAACAAATTAAACTCAGCAAAGCTGTTATATGCTAAATGCCACTGTTCAGCTTCACCTTTTATCTCCACCAGAGGGCGCCATCATCCAGTAGGCGGAGCTCTCCTTGTGCTCTGTGTTCCAGCATTGTGTCAATAATAAGTGTTGCTGTGAAGAGAACAATAGTCAGACTGAATGTTGAACATCAGCTAGTTTCTCCTGCTGATTTAAACCTTGTTGGACAGATGGAACATTGGCTGTGGATTATTCTAGCTGCTCTTTTCTTTGGTAAGATAGAAAGCTCAACATGTTTCCTCTTCAATCACTTGAACACATTACTGAGCTCTACATGAAGAGCTTTAATGTTCATTCTACAGAAAATCAGAGCAGATCATTTCTGCTGCCATTTGTTACCTTGTAGAAACACCTGATATGGTTCAAAGTGACAATGATCAGAGAAAATGACATCTATTCTACATGGAATAGAAGTCTTTAAAGCTGCTGATTGTTCTCCTTTAATCAATCATCTTTATTGATTCATCTCTTCCTCTGCATGTTCTGTTCTTCCTCAGAGTGTAAAGGAGACTCAGTGACGCAGACAGAAGGACATGTTGCTGCTGCTCAAGGAGAATCTGTGACTCTGGGATGTGAATACCAGACCAGCTCTTTATCACCTACCTTGTTCTGGTACAAAGTGGAAGACAATGGTTATCCAAAGTACATGCTAAAGGGATTCCCAACAGGAGGAGAAAATTCTCCACATTTCAATGACAGATTCAATGCTGTCCTCAACAGTAAAAATAAATCCTTTAATCTGACGATCCAGGATCTCCGTCTGTCAGACTCTGCTGTGTACTACTGTGCTCTGCAGCCCACAGTGACAGGAAACACCAGAACTCTGCACAAGAACCTGAAATATTCCACTATATCCACAAGAGGAAATTGTGTAACCTATGACATATACAGAAGTACATTTTTACTGTCTTAATTTGTATTTATTTTTATATGGTAGCCAAAGTTATGACCTATAAAGTCTTTAAATATTTTGTTTTGCTACATGATATTACTCAAATAATGTAGCTTCTGTCCAATATTTCTGTTTCACTTTCATTGTTAAGTGCAGTTGGAAAACCAAAGTGGTGCTATTGGAAAAAAAATAAACACCAGTCCTTTTCACTGCATGAAAAGTGAGATTTTCGTCCCCGTAAACCCCCGTAAACTCCCGCAGATCTGCCTGATTTTCGTCAGTTTCCGACAATTTGCAACCCGTGCTTGTCCGCGTTTGTCGTGCCACAAATTGTCGGAAACGGACAGTGACGTAGGTGGAGAGCGATCAGCTGTACTAATGGCCCTAATTAGCATATGAATGCAGCAAACCCGCGCGGCTGGCCAGGTCTGGCTTGAATAACCTACTCAGTATTGGCTGAAACCACTATTCTCAAACAAATGAAATCGCTCGTGATTGGCAGCAAAACCACACGTGGCCACGCCAGGCTTTAATTTTCTTACTGAGTATTGGACGGAACCACTTCTTTTTAAACAAGTGAAGTCGCTCGTGATTGGTTGGCATATATATATATTTACATATATATATTTATTCATATATATATATTTATTCATTCATATATATATATTTATTCATTCATATGCTGTGTATTTATATTATCCTACACTACTACACAATTATTATGCTACCATCAAGGACATGAATGAATTTATACAGGAAATGAACATTTGCCAGGAAGCTGTTTATGCAAAGAAAGAGCTTTATTAAAACACACACAACTATATACAACGCGTATCCAAACACATGCGTATCTAAAAATTACAACTCCGTGAACGGTCCGTTTGCTTCCTCGGGGTTGGAGGTAACTGGCAGCATTCCCTCCGAGGCAGGTCCGATGTGCAGACGCCTACTGTGCGTGGCCCTGTACTTCAGCATCGCTTCTAACCAGGACTGCAGCTTAACACAGAGTTCAGTGAGATCCGGCCTACGAAATGGCGGCGACCGTACAATCCATCCAGAGACACCGCCGACGACGCCATCTTCTTCGTCGGACCTGAGGTCGACGGTGGCGGACTTCCAGAGTTCCACTTCCTCATCTGCCAGCACACTCTGCCTCGCCTTCAGCAGCTGAAAAAAAAAACAATGAATCAGCGCACTGCATACGGACACAACACATCTATCAATGCACCTGAAAAATAGTCACCAAATAAAGTCTTACCCTCTTTCGTCTGGCCCGACTCCGAGCAGATAGCCTGGCGGCCTCCGCACGCAGCGTGCTGGCTAGCAACGTGTATCTGAAGCTCCTGCATACCGTCTCATAATACGTCTTACAGGCAGCTGGAAAACAATTAAATGAGAGTGGTATGAATAAAAAAATAAAAAAAATCAAACGCAAGTCACAGTAACAAGGAAGGAGAAAACATTAAAACAAGTCACTTACACACAATGTCGTCTTTATCAACATCGTGCAAATCCGAGCAAATAGGAGGTCACCGCCTCATTGTGAGGCGACTGTAGTCTGTGAAAAAAAAAAAAAAAGTACAGCTATGGTCGGTATCCATCCGTATCCATGTCCTTTTACCGCAGAATGAAAGCATATTCTTTAAACCTTACCCCTGCCGGTTCATAGCGCCTGCAATTAGTCTCCGAGTTGTTAAGACGGCATAATGCTTCCTGTGAATCACAAAAAATACACTTTAGTAAAGCTTTAGGCTAGGCTGCTTTTAGCTTACCTAGCTAGGCTAGGCTGTCTTTAGCTTGCCTAGCTAAGCTAGGCTGCTTTTAGCATAGCTACCAGTAATCGAACATATATTTACCGCTAGCGTGGCGTTGTGCACCCGTCTTCTCTTCCTCGAGTTCGTATATATCCCGCAAAGTTGCTCGACTGCAGATAGGGTGGCCAGATGTCCGGCTTTAGGGCGGACAGTCCGGATTTTCATTGCACTGTCCGGCGTCCGGCGCTGCACCCAGCCGGATGTGTATTTGTCCTCCTTTACCCCCAGATTCCACATACTCCGTCAGCGCTCCGCCCCGCTCACGTACGGAGTACTTGTCTGTCTTCTTCTTCTTCTTGTCGAGTTTTATGGCGGTTGGCAACAAACTGTTAGTAGCATTACCGCCACTTACTGGTATGGAGTGTGGTTCGTGATGGTTTAAATATTGATCCTGATACATTCTACCCTAACTTCTTCTAAACATACATTCACACATTCACACTTAAAAATATAAACATATTTGTGCACAGCTTTGTATATCATTCCTTCACTCACAAACACACTTACTATAATTAAATTCTATGGAATAATTTCGTTTTCTTTAGAAATCGAATAATTATTTGTATGTGTTTACTCTCTAAATTTTTCCTCAGTATATCTAATAAATTAACCTTCTCCTTAATGTCTTCAAACTCTCTTCTCATATATCTTCTCTCTTTTTCATATTTATGACATTCTAATATAACATGTTCTATGGTTTCATATTTATCACAGAAATCACATTTGCCCGTTTTATGTTTTTGTATTTTAAAAAGTGTATGATTAAGTCCTGTATGACCAAATCTTAACCTTGTTATCACTCTTTCATCCTTTCTATTTCTTCTTCCATTTCTTCTTTCTCCTACCATCTTCTGAATTTTATAAAACCATCTTCCTGTTTTATCTTCATCCCACCTTTTTTGCCAAATTTCCATAAGTTTCTCTTTAATAATACTCTTTCCTTCTGATTTACTTATTTTAACTATAAAACTAATAGAATGTTTAATTGCCCTTTTTGCCATTTTATCTGCCCTCTCGTTTCCTTCCGCCCCAATATGTGCTGGAACCCACACAAATGTAACTATCAGCCCCATGTTTCGTATTCTGAACAGTGTATGATTTATTTCTAATAAAATGTCCATCCTACTATCTGTATTACTTGTCTGTCATGTAAATCAATGAGAGCTGTTCCACATCCTCCGCTCGTCACCGCCCACGTACGTCTTCTCCGTCCTTCACCGTCAAAATACGGAGCTGAGCTATTTTTTGCTCCCCTCCGGTCCGTCCAGATCAAGACCCGCTATTGCAATCGCACCAAACAGAAAAAAGAATGGAGAGAAGACCTGGTTTGTCAAATTAAATTATAGTAAAAACAGATTGGTATCTAGAAATTAGAGCATAGTTTGTATATATTCCCAAAAACTAAAATAATAAATTTAGATTTTATTTCCTGGCAAAACATTCAATTCGGTTTATCCATTAAAGAAAAAAAAAATTGGAATTTTTAATCAATATTCTAATAATTGTAACAAAGTATTATATCCATAAATGTCGCTATGCAAAATGCTCCCTCCCAATCTCTGCTCTCAAAAATGAACTTTCCCTTTTCAAAAGATGTCTGAGAAAGATGCAGAATTTAAATGCAATTAAATTGTTTGAGTTAATTGAAGAATTTCAGTTGGTAGTCCCCACTGATTAATTTACTTTAACTACTATTATTATTTTATTTATTTTTATTTATTTTATTTTATTTTATACTTTGTTCCAGCCTGTGCATTTAATTTTCAAAAGCAGGAGTTGTGATATTTCTTCTTGTATTGAAATATTTGTTATTGACTTGTTATTTGAGATTGTTATTGTTTTCTTATATATTCAATAACAAAAAAAAAAAAAAGTGGAAATCTAAAAAAAAAATTAACCATTACAGCCAACTGATTCTGATTAAAACTAATTTTTGAAGTAAATTATTTTGTGTATTTTTTTTACATAACATTTGCATACACAGTAATCTAGCGTACTTTAATTAAATAAATCAATTCAAGCTAAAATGTAAGAGTCTATAATTAGGCTATACTGAGCCTGATCTATTTCTACCATCTATTTGGGGGATATTTATTGCCACACTTTGGGCCACTTAAAACCAATTTAGTATGCTGACCTATGTCCTTATGACCACAGTGTACCAATCTTCTGATGGCTACTTCCAACAGGATAATGCGCCATGTTATAAAGTGAATCATCTCAGAATCATTTCTTGAAACTTTTCCACTTAAGTAATTGTGAATTGAGCATATTGACAGACAACATTTTATTTTTTATCTTAAATGCAAATTAAAAAAAATAATAATTACTGCTCTAAATGTATTGCTCTGTCAGCTAAAGATCTGTTTTGGTCTCTATACTTTAATTAAATAAATCAATTCAAGCTAAAATGTAAGAGGCTATACCTGATCTCTTTGTATCAGAGATTTTCTTACCCAGGGTTGCAGGGGGGGGTAAAACCCCCCCTGCAACCCTGGTTTGCATTTGTATAGCTCACAGCATGTTCATTTACATGTTAAAGCCTCCCCTAGAATTCCATGGGGGGGAGGCATGGGGGGAACACTGCCTAAGAAATTCCACGTCAATTTCTGACAATTTACGGGAGTTTTCGTCGAAGCCTGCAAATTGCCGTATACTGCCGCTAACCTGAAGTTCCACGACAATCTACAGTGCCGTATATTGACGAAAATCCCACTTTTCATGCAGTGTTTTACTTTCCCCTGTGCTTCTGATGACTGAACTTTTCCTATGATTAAAACATTGAAGTTTTAATTTGCTGGTGTGGTCAAATGAAAGAGGCGGCTCCAGATTGGGAGCAGATGTTGACAGAGGAATCTAGAAGGGAGCTAGGGGAAAGCAGAGTGACACAAGAGGGCAACAGAGGGTAAACAAGAAATACCTAAGAAGTCAAATACAATCAAAATTAACTAACATAAAAAAAAGAAAAAAAAAACAATGAAAACTCAAAGAGAAAATGTAAACAGAACTAAAACTATGACAAGCCAGTAGTTTAGAGCTACAGCATGAACCAGCTGCAAGAACTGAGAGAAGACAATGCCAGCCCATAAATAAGCATAGATGCTTGCTAATCCGGAGGATATCGATGATGAAGGAGACTTCAAATTCAAGGGTCTCACAGCAAGACCTTCGGCTTACTGGCCCTTGGGAAGGCGCCATTAAGTCGGA